TAGCTGGAACTACAGGCACGCGCCACCACACCTGGCTAATTTTTTGATTTATTGTAGAGACATGGTCTCACCAAGTTGCCCAGGCTGATCTTGAACCCACAAGATCCTCTCACCTTGGCCTCCCAAAGTGCTGGGACTACAGGCATGAGTCACAATGCCCTATCAAACTGCTTTTTAAAAATTCCATCTTGCAGGGCTTGATGGCTCAGCCTGTAATCCCGCGCCTTTGGGAGGCTGAGGTGAGTAGATTGCTTGAGCCCGCGGGTTCGAGACCCACCTGGGTAACTTGGCGATACCTCATCTCTACAATAAATAAAAAATGAGCCGGGTGTGGTGGCGCACGCCTGCAGTTCCAGCTACTTGGAAGGCTGAGGCAGAAAGATCGCTGGAGCCCAGCAGGTCGAGACTGCGGTGGCCGAGAGCGGCCACTGCACTCCAGTCTGGGTGACAGTGAGACTCCAACTCAAAAAAAAAAAAAAAAAATCCCATCTTAACTGGGAATCCCTAGTGGGAAACTGTCAGGGGAGAGGGGATGGGATTGGCAGTTGAGGAAACTGCTAGGGGAAGGAGGGGAATATCTTAACAACAAGGGTGCCTGCATAATCAGTGTTTGTATACCTAACCCTGAATTGTTATTGTAAATAAATAAATAAATAAATAAGAAAAAAATTCCATCTTTTTTTTTGGAAGGTTGAAGTAGAAGGACTGCCTGTGCCCAGCAGGTTGAGGCTGCAGTGGCTCTGAGTGCCACTGGACTCCAGCCTGGGTGACAGAGTGAGGCTTCAACTCAAAAAAAGAAAAGAATACAACAGTGGGCCGGGTGTGGTAGTTCACACCTGTAATCCCAACACTTTGGGAGGTGGAGGCGAGAGGATTGCCTCAGTCCAGGGGTTTGAGACCAGCCTGGGCAACTTGGCAAGACCTCATCTCTACAATAAATCAAAAAAATTGGCCAGACTCAGTGGTTCAGCCTGTAATCCCCAGCACTTTGGGAGGCCAAGGCAAGTGGATTGCCTGAGCCCACAGGTTCGAGACCCACCTGGGCAACTTGGCCAGACCTCGTCTCCACAATAAATCAAAAATTAGCCGGGCATGGTAGCACGCACCTGTAGTTCCAGCTGCTTGGGGAAGGCTGAGGTGGAAGGATCGCCAGAGCCCAGCAGGTTGACACTGGAGTGGCTTTGAGTGTGCCACGGCACTCTAGCCTGGGTGACAGAGTGAGACTCTGATTAAAAAAAAAAAAAAATTAGCCAGGCATGGTGGTGCATGTCTGTGGTTCCAGCTACTTGGAAGGCTGAGGCGCAAGGATCGCTGGAGTCCAGCAGGTCAAGGCTGCAGTGCCCGCCCTGCCACTACACTCCAGCCTGGGTGACAGAGTGAGACTCCGACTCCAAAAATAATAAATAAATACATACATACTTAAAATTAAATAAAAAATAAAACTTCCATCTTTTTTTTAAAAAGCATTTGATTCATGGCTATCAATTCTTTAATAACTTCAGTCTCGCCGGACTCGGTGGCTCAGCCTGTAATCCCGCGCCTTTGGGAAGCTGAGG